AGAATTTAGAGTTCTTTTCAACCCTATCCTATAAAATTTTAAAATTGTATCTACAAAGAGTGTGATAGGCATATTAGTTGTTCTAGCCAATTCCATACAAATACACATTTTAATTTTAAACATTTAATCATTGGCATGTTTGAAAGTGTTGACCTTTTAAATTTTTGTTAAAATGACTTTAAAAATTCATAATCCCGTTTAACATCTCTAAATGTACATCATCATGCGCCTTCACTGCAATGAGAAATCTGCAGGAGGAAAAAAAAAAAGCCTGAAAATCTACAATGGGCAGGGAAGTTGTTCTTCCTCTTAACTGCCTCACTCTCAGCAAAACATAACTACCAACACTGAGCTGTGAGTCTATATATACTTAGGCCTGGAGTTCGGGGGAAGCCCTTCGTGACCAATCAGGACTTCCCTATCTATTGCGTCACACCTCCCCCCGGGGCGTGACGTCAAAGGCAATCCCAGGCCAGCCACGTGGGTTGGAGGAGTGTAGCGTTTCTGGGCAGCTGTTTGGAAGACAGCCGCAGCAGCGATCCCCAAAAGTGGAGGGCAGGGCGGGGGCGACAGGGCTCCTACACGCACCTCCAGGGAGCGTGGCTCTAGCCGCTCGCTCGCCTGGGAGGCGCGCGGGGCTGGGGAGCCCAAGTGCGGTGCGCGGGCGTTTGGGGGATGGAGGGAGAGGCACGGGGGAAGCTGGCACCTAAGGCGGTGTAATAGGAGCCGGGTCTTGTAAAGCCTCCTCCCCAGGAACCGCCTCTCCGCTCCCAGCTCCTCTTTCCAGCCTTAATTATCCTTTCAGCACCGTTTCCCCTCGGCTGCGTCTCCTTGGCTGGAGGAAAAAGCCTCCCTCGCCTCCCCATTCTCACCCTCACACAGACCCTCCTTTCAGACCCGCCCTCCTGTTCACAGGGACCCATTTCGGAGCCCAGGCTCACGCTGGGCGGGAACCAGCATGACGAATTCCGCCCAAGGTGTTGATTATCCATCCCGACCCAGCCTCTGGCTCGCCTCCCACCTTCGC